GACACGAAAAATAAAAATTCTCTTCTATCAGCATCAATATCAGTAAACTGACAATTTTGCAATATCCGCCATGACAAAACAAGCGTATCATTCTGCACCCCAGCCTCGCTACTTCTGGCGGCGCCGTATTGTTGTCCTGATTCGGAATAATAATTGGCACGGTTTACGAGATACTGAACTGTTCGAGTTACGGACATCGAGTTACGAGCATCGAGTTACGAAAACATCGAGTTACAAAACTGACCATGCCCACATTTCGGAAACCACTCTCACTTTTGCGAAACCACGCCCAAATTGTAACTCGATGTTCAATTAACAGTTTACATAATTTCGAGTTACGGGCAGGCGACATATATTTTTATTATAACTCAAACTTTAACTATCAGTTAACCGAACTTCGAGTTTCGGAAAATATACAACGTTAAATAAAACCAAAATTCTATGTTGCCCGTAAATCGAAGTTCGGGTAACTGTATCTTCGTGACTCAATGTCCGTAACTCGATCACTTCAGCATCTCCAATTGAACAATCTTACTAATGTGTAATATTCGATTGGTTAGGCAGTTCATCACCCCTGGGTTCTCCAACTGATTATTTGATCATTCATACCGAAAGTGGTATTTGTTCGTAGCATATTGAATGCTCTAAATCACTGGCTGGCAGACATCTCTCCTCCTTTGCCGGGTTCCCTGTCACTTTTTCTGGAGCAGTGCCCTCTTGCGGCCAAATACGATTTTTTTTAAATGAGTACCAAATAACAGCATATTTTGCTTTCGCTTAGTAAATTCTCGGTGAATACCCTTCTGTAGCTAGGAATACATTGCGTTGGCAAAATGTCAATACTATGTTAAAGGGCGGTGGTCGTCGCGCCGCGTCCTGTTCGATATGGGTCTCATAGCAACGTACAAACACATGTAAAATTGTTTTACATGAATTTCAAACATGCGCTGCGAGACGACCACCACCCTTTAATTTATTCTTAACATTCATTTGGCCGTATACAATTATACTCTTTACCATTATATGTAATTTTACTTCTCGCTGTGTATCACGAAAGTGAAGATATCAGACGTGGACACAATGGCTTCAAACAGTGGGCTCACATGAACCATAGACCTTATTTATGCATGAACTACGGCACAGATTCCATGCCTGGCTAACTATTTTTTTTCCCTATTACCGATTTCAGCACATATACTTAATCACAATAAAAATGTAATCAAACTGAGACTCGCGAATTCCGTAAACTTAGAGCATAAACGCTTTAAACCACTTTACCGATTCTGTCAACCGTCACTTTGTACTGTGGGTCTATTTATGAAGGGGCTTTTGCGATCACGAGTAATCAATTGCTGCAACTCACCGCTGCAATCTATCAGTGAAAGGACTGGCATCATTATGCAATCAGAGTAGATGAACTGTACTACTATATCTCGGTTTAGGACCGAACATGTCTATATTCATGGCATGTAATATACAGTGTCACCCATGTGCAATCATGATGTTCACCTGATGATTGGTAATATTACAGTGTTCTTAGATATTATCGTAAAACCATTTATTTTCCCTGGCATTTAACTATTTTGAGCATATTCACTGGGTTTTAAGTTCAAGAACTTGCCAGTAAAAGTAATATCTAAGTTCACGTGAATTTAATTGAGCGGATTTTTCTTATCAGCAAGAATACTGACATTAATGCATTTACAGTATCGTATATCCACTATCAATCATTCATCACTAAATTTGGTGGTGTCATAGACAGTCCTCCTCCCTCTCTTATCAGATCCCACGGTTAAAACAATACACCTTTCTCACTGAAAAAAATCCCAGACCCAACAATCTCTTCTCATACTTTGCCGGAAAAAAACAACCCTGCTTTTCCGTGCTTTCGAGAATTATAGAATATTTCTATAGCTCTGTTGACTCTCAGACTAATAATACAATTTTATTACTAGTCTGAGGTTGACTGCACCTTGCGGTCGACGTGCAAGCATAAATACGTTTGTTGAAGGGGGGTGTGTTGCTGATCATTGCTTTACAACACCAATGGTGAACGATTATTGAATTTAAGATTCGTGCAGGTCATTATAAATGAGTTCGCAATGTCACGTGTCAATGTATTGATCTTCCGGCATTCTTAAAGTACAAAATAAAATACTCACCTGCTCTCAGTCTTTCCTCAACAAATTTGAAATATTTGCTTATCATTGTCGATTCTCATAAAATCGGTATTAAAGCCAGACAAATGCAATGCACCGATATGCCTTACGACTTATAAAAGGTCACACATGCTGGTACTTTCTAGAGGTAAAAAACAATAAATTTCTTAATTTTCCCGCTATTCACTGTGAAATGCAAGCGTCTGCCATTAAAGTACAAAATCATAACAAATATTGGAAAATAATTTTAGAAATTATTGCTGTTATATGCAAAAAATACCCCCCCCCCAATAGTACCAGGATGTGTAACTTTTCCGGGTGACTCGTAAGCCCTCAAATGAGTAAAGTGTTGCATCGCATTCTCACGTGATATTGATTTTACGGATTATGTCATTGAAGCTTTATTAAACTTATTTGAAGTAAAATGGGCCATAATTAGGAATCAGCAGTCACGGCATTCGCGAGTTATGGGTGTTAGAACCTGACTGATTTGTTATATATCTATAGTCCCGACAACGCTAAATACAACTCAGAAAGTATAAAATGGTCCATGTTTCCTGTTTGCTTGTCAGTGGATGCTTTGACAAAAATCTCATATAACAGGCATACATTTAGAAAGAAAGGGACAGAACAACTTGAAAAGTGGGTATTCATGAAATAAATCCTCCGACTTCAGTTGGTTCTTATCAATTTTTAATATTTAGAACCATTGCATGATGCATTGGAGCGTGTTCGGATGTTTGCTAACAATTTCTGAACCAGATATCTTGCGAATTCCGTAATTGCTGCATTTATTAATTGCATTATTATACTTGATACGTCAACTGGTACAAACAAAATATATCGGATACTACAACGTCAAATGTGTTTCAATTAGTAAGTCGTAGGGATCTTTCTACAATTGTTCCCAAAGTATCGCCTATTACACGTGACCTGATCCTCTGGCGATTGTAGTTGCCATAGTCATGGTACTGAAAGTGGATACCATGAACCTACAAGTTGGTGACGTAATGCAACAGAACATTACGCGAGATTTCCCGATATATTTTCATCCCATTAAATAAATTTTCGCTCGCATTAATGCGGCATGTACAGTTGTTGTTAATGTAGGTACCAACATAGAATTATTATTTATCATTGTTTTATCGAACCAATATTTAGCTCAAACAAGTTTTAAGTTTAATGTAAATCATAATCCAATGTAAAACAGTGTCAAAGAGCAGATTAAAAAAAATGTCTTACCCGTATTGCATCATTTATAAAATGTATTCAACAAGGTGTAAGTCATCATACATATTGTTTTAGCAACTCACGACTGAAGAGGGCGTTACAAGGTTGTTAGTCATGTGATGGTACACTCAGTGGGTTAAGATTTATGTCGCGATTGATGGTGATGAAAAAAACGCCATTGCGCATGCGTTTTTAATTATTTGATACGTACAATAAATTGAAAAGTGAACACTTAATCGATTTCGGAAAAAATAAAAATAAAAACTTGAGATAATGAAAATGTTTAAATGTTTTTATAATAACTTGGGCTTTATATACTTAATAAGGCTTTATATACTAAAATACACAAGGAATTGTATTATATAATCGTCTTGCCAGATTTTCACACTAAAATGTCATTTTACAACACTTGTATTTATATTTATATTGTTATTACCATTTTGTTTCACTGTAGAGTAAATTTGAAGATGTGCCACATGTAACTACGGAGAAAATCTTCGTTTTTATGAACCCGGAAGTGTATTTTTGTGAACTGAATTTTTGGCTCAGAACCAGCTGAATCATGCTTCTGTTTATCATTTTAATGAAAAACAGATTATGTTGTTAGCACGATGTACCAACTTTACAGATGTATTTTTCAGGGAATTAAATTCACACTTCATACAGTAGAAAATGTCACGGTACCCCAGGGTACTTCTGTATTGTGCGCAGAGGTTTTTGCGCAGTGCTGAGATGTCTTCTGAGTCATATTTATGTTATCGTCTTTATCAGTCATACATTGGATGTACGCAAAATGACTGAATATTTATACATCACTGGTTATCAATCCATGGTTGACACATAATGACATAATAAGACTGTCACACATACTATCAAGATATAGCTAGGTAATCAATACGACGTCATATCATGTAATGTAATTGTATTGTTACTTTTGACATATTTATCATGTAAATAATAAATATGATATTATCTTTAACCTTCGCATGTATGTGTGTCTTTAGTACAACCCTTCTTCACTGACTACTTCAAAGTTGGAATGCCACTGCTTTCTTCGACTCTCAGCTATCGGGTAGTATCTAAACAGAGCGCCCTCGCTTTGTTGTGATGCTTCACTACTAAGCAAATTCGATTTGTCGCATCAGATTGAGGGCGCTGTTAAATTGCGGTAAATGACCCATACAGCATGTGTGAAGTGAAGCATTATATTGCGTGACACTAAAACACATTTCCTCTTATCCCAAAACATTTTCATGTCTCATCAAACCGAGTGTATGTTGACATGATGTGTTAATGCCGTCACTACGGCCCGGCGAGTGCCAAAACATGCCACACACAAAAAATAATGCAAATTATTTTTATGGAAATTATTTATTTGCAAACTATACTGCAACATATCATAGATGAAAAAAAGAAGAAAATAAACGGCTATTGCGCGGATCATTCTGCGCAATGTGCTTTCTAACTGAGAATGATTGCGCAGTGTGCCAGAGGACACCGTCTTTACCGATCAAAACCTAGGTCATAGTTCAATTTTTACCACACGCGCACTTCGTTCCACACAGTCACCTCGTTCAAGGTCACTTAGTATCACATATGTTAGCGAATATTAGAAATGTGATTTCGAAGGAAATTACACTTCAAAATGTTTAAGTCAATATAACATTAGAGACCGTTTAATACAAAGTGACATGTTACGAAGTGGTTATGATACGAGGTGACTGTACTTTGTCCTGCTACACCATGTAACACGTGATAGGCAACGCACAATAAACTTTACCTGTAAGTTACGCCCTTTAGCGCCACGGAGTTTCTGTGAAAGCAATGTCGAACAAAGCGACAATTACGTTTACTTTGTAGTCCGTTGTCATGTATAGTATAGTAAATCTCTCAAAAAATATTTGACATTGACGGACTACATCACTGGAGCTATGAGCGGCCTTCTTTTCACCCATTTACGCCATAAAAGCGCTTTGCCGCTAGAGGGCGCGATTTATATGAATACTGTATTGGTATCCCACGCATAATTATATCAAACCCATTTTTAAATTCAGAATTTAAAATGTGTTATAACACTGACAATTGATATGTACAAATAGACCAAATAACAATATAAGATGACAAACCTAAGTAGTTGAACTACTTAACAAAAAAAAAGTGTAATCTGAAATTTGGCAGTCTGATGGCTATTTCATGGAACTCGGAGTCGATAATCGACATTTCACGATATTCAACAGCGCCCTCTCGAGAATGTACTGAGGTCACACACAAAATGTCAAGTTTGTCAAAATTGATTTTGAGTTGGCGTTTAAACAAATTGTGAATGTATATACATGTGTTATTCAATGATACACATTTTGTACCATCAAATTTATATTCAATATTTACACAATTCAAGAAAGCAACAACCGAAGCAGATATTATGTTAAGATAAGCGAACATAGAATACGCATAATTATATACACATGTTCTTATCCTTAATTTTAAAAAAAAAACACGATCACTGAATTCACCGTTTTCTTCCATTTAAATTTGAAAAAAAACGTGAATACTAGTATATATATATATTTACAATGACCAGTGACATCTCTTTTCTTTGTCGTACTTCTTCCCATAGTACATTTGTGATGCAATGCGCATGACTAGGAATAACAACGCATGCGCACAGCATATGATGAACACATGTGCAAATGAGTGTTGTGGAACTGCATTGCATTGTGTGTCAATAGTTTCGGAGAAGTAGCAACAATAATCTGGTATTAAACATTCGGCAAATCCATCCTATCCGAACACACATCATTGGCAGTATTAATGCGGTATACACTCTCAATACCAAATGCAAAGGAGGGCAGAATAGTGTTTCTGTTGCATGTAGTGTACGCCGCGAGTCCGGGACGTGTTCATCGCACAGCATTAATACTGTGTTTTGTTTTATTCGCCGCCATGTTTCATTCATACGAATTACTGCGAACAAAGTAATTGCCTTACTGTGTTGTCCTCCGTTGTAGTAAACGGGGAAATTTGGTGTCATAAAAGTTCGTTTGACGGCTGTGAACCAGAAAGAGTGGGTCAGTAAGTAATAAACACATGGTCAGAATTCACGGTCACGTGTGCCCGAAGTGATACGTCACGCTGTCCAGAGTATATAACACGTCACTTAAATTGTTGTCGGCATCAAAAATTATAAACTGGCAGAGAATAATTCTATTACTACTCTTCACGGTCACGTGATACAACTATACGATTCAGCAATTAGCGTCGTCAACGTGTCTAGTTGTAATTAGCTGTTGTGTGACTTTTTCGTGGCGACATTGCATCAAAACTGTCGAGAAAGCCTTTCAAGCCATATACGGTTGAATTCTTATTGTGTGTTATTATACATTCGGGCAACCGCGCGGGCACATGTTGTTAATTTGATCTTGATGTTGTGGCGCTTCAGTTAAAAAAGCCAGCGCCCGATATATACGTGACTTTTTTGTTTAAACTTGGGTGGGTTCAACTCCATCCAGGGTCCCATTGCCAGTAACTTGCGAAACCACTTCAATTTCGGTTTTCGATTCCTTAGAATATTTCCGTCGCGAATCGCGGAATATGTTCAACGTAAGACCTTGTTTTGAAGCAGAACTTGCAATGGATGTATTCCTCGACCCTGGTCTTCGTTGTCGTATTGATTGACGATCTCGCCACCGGTTGAATTTCCTCCTTATTACTGACCTAACCTGAAAGATAAAAAAAATGATAACAGAAAAATGTAAAGTTTAGCCAAGCAGTAAATTATGCTCGCCTAGTGACCGGGCGCATTGTGTTGGTCCCGCAACATCCCGGCAAGTAATGAGGGCAACCACGAACTAGGAAATCCGTATCAAGTACAACATGCATATACATTACATTGCAGTGTAAAACTTCGGGCACATGTGTGAGTCTCTTGTGATAAGATATGCACTGGTTTAATCGAAGCGCCAACGCAGAATCACTGCATTGCCAGGGCCCTTGTTTTTTTCTGGTAAGAAACTAGAAGATATCTCTGTCTTAGTTTTCTCGCCTTCTCTATACTAATTTTGTTATCGTGAAAAGCAGAAATCAACCCATCTTGTTATGAAACAATCTTGCGTATAACTAACCTCTCCGTTGAGGAAGACGTAGATGACTGCTACTGATAATCCTTGCGTTGATTGCAAAAGTGTGTTGAAATATAAAAAGAGCAGCCGTGCTGTGGTGCTGTCCTGTGCGGGATTCATGAAGAAGAGCATGTACGTCAGCCCTAGTAATGGTAGAAGAACCACCGTGGCTTTGACAGCTTTTCTGTAGAAACAAAAACCGTATCACAAAATGCTAAATGGTGATTTTTCATAGATGTGTTGCTACTCATATCTGCAGACATGCAATCCGTATTGTGATGGTCGTAATGTAATGTAATGTAATGCAATGTAATGTAATGTAATGATGCTATCGTCACGGAGCTGATGGTCGCTACTCACATCTGCAGACATGCAATCCGTATTGTGATGGCCGTACTATGATGGTGCATGTCAAGTTTATCTTATGCACTTGAACTGCGCAAATGCGTGGTAAATTTAGCTCACTTCCCTGAACTATACAAATACGTAAGTTTAGGTTGCTCCCTTGTACCTGAACTAAACAAATACGTAAGTTTAGGTCGCTCCCTTGTACCATACAAATTGTCACACGCAACGTAATATTACCGTAATTGGTATAGTACAGGTGTGATGGTTCAAATACCAAAATGGCAACAGTAACAGAAAAACTTCCCTGGCGGCGATGATAAAATACGAACACGGAGCCAACATATGAGGTTTCAACTGGTACTGGTATTATTATACTCTGCAAACATCAAGTACAATAACGCGGTAAAACTCCACCACTCCAATAACTAGATACTTAAACTCCAATACAATTCAACGAGATCTCCGATCTGAACTCAGTGCTGAACAACTCCCCTATATATACCCCCACTGTCTATAAATAGACCATTACATCAGCTTACATAATGAGTCTGGAACTTACTACAAATTTCTAAAATGTTCCATTACCTTCTATTACCTCCTACAGTGTTCTATTACCTATTCAACCATTTCTAAAAAAAAATATAGAATATTCCACCCAGACACAGTACGGTTCTAGAACATTCTCAGTGACACGGAAGTGGTAAATAAGTCGTATGCGACACAAATACATGATCAGTTTAGCTCACTCACCTGTACTGTTGCGTTTCTAAAGAATTTGACGCCCTCAGCTTCGTGATGAGTACACGCACAATATTGAACAAGAAGATAAAGTTTAACTGAAACGTAAAAAATAAATTATCTATCAGCGACGCAATGACCATTCTCGACGACTCGACTGACAATCACATCGAGTTATCGAGGATTTAACCATTCAGTGTACTATGATTTAAACGGGCTATTCAGAATAGTGTACAATCTTTATTGTGTTTCGTTGTATTTTGAAAGAAAATTCACAAACCTACTTTTGTGTTGAATGTTACGTTTTTCAACTCTTGAATCATTGGGGCAATTTTTAGGATTTTCCTACTATAATATTGACTGAGAAATGAAGAATGCGACACTCACCAAGAGAACTACTAATATCGGTCCTTGGTATATATAGTCATACAAACTGGCTTCTTTTGGTGGTAGCCAGCACCTGTAGAATATATCGACAAATTCAACACTATGAAAACTAATAACAACAACTTCATGTTTACAAGCTCATATGTCACGATTCGAGCTCATTTACATAAACCGGGCATACGATGGCCGATGCTATATCCCCCAATCACAAATATGAAATTATATTCATGATATAGTCACAAGATTTTACATTACACAAGCAGCGGTTAATAGACATAGTGCGCGCTTAATTTGCATACAGCGATGTTGGGAGAATTAGAAATAGTGAGTTGAGTCTAAAATACATATATACGCTCAATCTATGCAGTGTTATATTTATCTTATTATTATTATTATAAAAATAATAAATTAAAAAATATTATAATAATAAACTAATATAACAGTGCATAGATTGAATGTTTACATGGCTCGGATTACTTTACACTCCAAATTAAGCGTCTCCAAAAAGTCGCCAATTCAGCTGCCGACTACGACTTAAAGGGCGGTAGTCGTCGCGCCACGCATACGCGTGATATATTGGTCTCATATAAACAAAGATGCACAGATCAACGTGTACAAACTGAGACATTTCCAAGCTTTAATTAGATAATTTCTAGCTGATTGGAAGGTATCCAAGGAGTCACCGGCGGTATTCAGTGCCTCATACTTGTGATTTCCATTTTTAAAGCGCATTGGATTGTGGGGAAAATCAATTTTTATGAACACAAATTTCGCACATGCGCAGCACGACGACCACCGCGCTTTAATATAATACTGGTTAATGTACGCCTTTCTCTGATGGAAATGTTATGATATATATATACTCACTCTTCGTTTTCGTACACATATTTAACTGTGGCCCATACAAAGGTGAAGATCAGTGGAAGACCTGGAAAGAGAATCTGTATTTAACATATGCATTTTTTGTCTCAATAGACAGTTTGTTTTTTTCGCCAGACCGATATGTCCATAGAAACGCGTCGATGATTTGAGTTCGGGTGGCAGACCGATTTTTTTTAGTATCTTTCCGGCAGATAAATTTAGGTCATATTTACACAGTATACACACAGATATTAACGACACTAAAGTGTTTGTCGTTAGGAACATACAAGTCGATCGTACATGTTAGCCAAGTGAATGAATAGTACATTGAATGTGACAGTTATATTACGTATAATGACTATGTGAACAGAAACCACCAACACGGGTTTTGGAAATTTAATACAAGCACTCTCAACCTAGGTGACATATGGCAACATGTAAACATTCAACCTAGGGGACATATAGCAACATGTAAACATTCAACCTAGGTGGCATATAGCAACACATAAACATTCAACCTAGGTGGCATATAGCAACACATAAACATTCAATCTAGGTGGCATATAGCAACACGTACATAATTTGACTGCAGTTCTGTCATCCTATTGAAACAATGGGACGCCGGGAACGAATCAACAGCCTCGTTTCAAATGCAATTTTAAAATGTAGAAATAACATCCTACACATTCTACATCCCGATGATGTAATTTGATCAAAATGGCCGCCATGGCACGGCGTATTGCTATGCACACAAAATCATTATTTAAATGGATATAACCCTTTTATTACCTGAGAAAGTATTTTACTTGATATACGTTTCACCTTGTTAAAAATCAAGTATGTGTAACAAATTTTCAATATAGTTTGTTTATATAAATGTAAAGCGCCATCAACGTGTCGTGTTCGAGGGTCCCATGCGACCCATGTAAAATACAGTTTATTTACATACACTTCGAACGCTCGACGCTCACTGAGGTATTTTACAACTTTTGTTATAGCGTCTTGAATTACTCGGTGGACAAGGCTGTCTGATATAATATTTCAGCAGCAATAGATTAAATCTGATGGAAACACGATTTTTATTTTTTTTCCAGATTTCATTTGTGTACATTTTCCAAAGATGTTACGTGCTGGGTAGTCGCGATGTCACATCTCCCATTCTATTCAATGTGGGGATGTGTACAACAATTATATTAGTGAGTTTGTGATCGTATGTAAATGTCATTACATGGCGCCCGTCAACTCAATTTGCATGTCTGTGAGAAACGTAATTTCATGAAACTGTCGTTGATTAATTTATTCTGATAATCATCAATAACGTACATCATTTGCTGGGTACAAAGCGATGGCAGCTCCAGAAATTTATTCCTAAGCAGATCAAGTGGGAACGTCTTTTTTGACTAATGTTCTGCTAAACTAGAGCGACCAACCAACTATTGACTTGGGCTACCATTATATATTCATAGAACTGTTCTCAAAAACAACATTGGCGAAATCCCCAATGATACAAATGATGCGTAGTTGTTAACCTGGACTAAAAGCCTATACAGTGAACAACAATACATCACATCTATCAATCAGTGGAAAAGTATCCTGTGAACGAGGATGCATTACAACTGCCACTGGCTAAAAGATTAGACTGTGAACAAGAATAAATTCAACTACCACTTACTAAAAAGCTGGGCCGTAAACGAGATCCCCTAAATTGTGAACGAGGATATATCACATCTACCACTCACTAGAAAGCTAGACTGTGAATAAGGACACCTCACAGATACTACAGCTTCTACTCACAAGAAATCGCGATTGTGAACGAGGATATATCACATCTACCACTCACAAGAAATCGCGATTGTGAACGAGGATATATCACATCTACCACGCACAAGAAATCGCGACTGTGAACGAGGATATATCACATCTACCACTCACAAGAAATCGCGATTGTGAACGAGGATATATCACATCTACCACGCACAAGAAATCGCGACTGTGAACGAGGATATATCACATCTACCACTCACTAGAATACTGTACTGTGAACGAGGATGGATTACAACTACCTCTAGCTAAAATACTAGACTGTGAACAAGAATAAATTCAACTACCACTTACTAAAAGGCTGGGCCGTAAACGAGATCCCCTAAATTGTGAACGAGGATATATCACATCTACCACTCACTAGAAAGCTAGACTGTGAATAAGGATACCTCACAGGTACCACAGCTTCTACTCACAAGAAATCGCGATTGTGAACGAGGATATATCACATCTACCACTCACAAGAAATCGCGACTGTAAACGAGGATATATCACATCTACCACTCACTAGAAAGCTAGACTGTGAATAAGGATACCTCACAGGTACTACAGCTTCCACTCACAAGAAATCGCGATTGTGAACGAGGATATATCACATCTACCACGCACAAGAAATCGCGACTGTGAACGAGGATATATCACATCTACCACGCACAAGAAATCGCGATTGTTAACGAGGTTATATCACATCTACCACGCACAAGAAATCGCGACTGTGAACGAGGATATATCACATCTACCACTCACAAGAAATCGCGATTGTGAACGAGGATATATCACATCTACTACTCACAAGAAATCGCGACAGTGAACGAGAATATATCACATCTATCACTCAGTAGAAGGCTGAGCCGTAAACAAGATTCCCTAAATTGTGAACGAGGACATATCACGTCTACCACTCATGATCACTAGAAAGCTAGACTGTGAATAAGGACACCTCACATGTACCACAGCTTCTACTCAGAAGTAATCGCGCTGTGAACGAGGATATATCACATCTACCACTCACTAGAGACTAGACTGTGAATAAGGACACCTCACAGGTACCAGTTTCTACTCAGAAGAAATCGCGCTGTGAACGAGGATATATCACATCTACCACTCACTAAAGACTAGACTGTGAATAAGGACACTTCACAGGTACCACAGCTTCCACTCAGAAGTAATCGCGCTGTGAACGAGGATATATCACATCTACCACTCACTAGAGACTAGACTGTGAATAAGGACACCTCACAGGTACCAGTTTCTACTCAGAAGAAATCGCGCTGTGAACGAGGATATATCACATCTACCACTCACTAGAGACTAGACTGTGAATAAGGACACCTCACAGGTACCACAGCTTCTACTCACAAGAAATCGCGTTGTGAACGAGGATATATCACATCTACCACTCTCTAGAGACTAGACTGTGAATAAGGACACCTCACAGGTACCAGTTTCTACTCAGAAGAAATCGCGCTGTGAACGAGGATATATCACATCTACCACTCACTAGAGACTAGACTGTGAATAAGGACACCTCACAGGTACCAGTTTCTACTCACAAGAAATCGCGATTGTGAACGAGGATATATCACATCTACCACTCACTAGAGACTAGACTGAATAAGGACACCTCACAGGTACCAGTTTCTACTCAGAAGAAATCGCGCTGTGAACGAGGATATATCACATCTACCACTCACTAGAGACTAGACTGTGAATAAGGACACCTCACAGGTACCACAGCTTCCACTCACAAGGAAACTCGACTGTATACAAAATACCTCACAAGGATCGCAGTTTCCTCTAACGAGAAGGGTGTGAACAAAGAGAGCGGACAAGTATTGATTCTTTCAACAATAGTTATTTGCGATCGGCGATTATTGAACACGCTGGTGAACGCGCTTTAAATGTCAGCTATGTAATACTTGGAAAGGTAGTTGTAGTTATGAAGGTAGGATGATAAGCACGTTTATGAGAACGGTGGAAATTGTGATTTCCCTGTAGTATTTACTTTACATTGGTAGGGTGATTTATATTCAGCTGATGGCACGACTCGACTGTGAACGATGTAAACTGGATCGTTTTGTGCAATGATTCTCTGATATATTGACTAAAAATGTGTCTATAAGTAGCTATGGGACTGAGTATTTAAACCTTCAGCCCAATGAGGATTCATTGCAGTCCATGATAATCCAGTGTGCCAAGCATTTTCTCCGGACTACCTGCTCCCATAGGCCCAATTAACACCATGGACAGTCATGCTAAACAAATCAACCCAGCCCTTTATCTTATGTGGGCACAACCACTTTGAGATGCGTTCCATGGTTCCTCTTGCTTGCTCTGTTACCTTGGATATATTGCACTATCAACGTACATTTCTCACATAAGATGCTCTCCGCAATGGACAATTACTATAAAAATACCCTTATAAATATCTATTTATTAGATTATTATGTATAGTTGAATTTCTTTTCAATGAGATTCATCATATACATTGTTTCTCTCCTAGTGTTGCTCTCATGCCGATGTTTAATTTGAACTACCGAATACGAGCCAACCACTATGCTATTGGATGGTGTGCGGAAACTTAAAAATGCCCGGTCCCAACATTAACACTAAAAAACTACAACTAAACAACTAAAAACTGTATGTACTTACACCATCCAATTACCATGAATATCCAGAATCTGACTTTCTCGGCTTGGAATGCCATGACGATCACCGTATGCAAATAAAGGCCTTCAACGAACATCCAAAAGAAATTGGTTTGTTGAAAATAGTTATAGACTGTGATGAGAAATCGACAAGGCCACTGAAGACAAAAAGAATATTATAATCAAATGAATGATATGGTAAGTATGGTTAAATATTATCCATGTGTAATAACATTAGAGAGGCAGGTTTACTCAGTTAGCAGATGAAATAAAACAAGCGTCAACACGTGATTTGAATTGAATTCAATGTGACCCTCGGATCTTAGCTGCACATAAATCAAATGGGGTGTCAGTCACATTTTGTATCAGTTACTTACTATTCATGTAACCGTTGTGCTATTGAACACTGCAATGTGTTTCTAAGTTGAATTTCTGCAACGTCCCACTTTGCGAAGCTTTCAAAAATTCATACCGACGTTGTTTCAAAATTAATTGAACATCACAACTAAATCAAAGACCAAAGATTACTTACCCCGTTGTCCTGCTTCGTCTGTAAATCGATGGTGTCATATGTAACAAGGTAGACCACATTCCGCAGAATGAATGTCGATAAAAGGTTCCAATGAATGTTGTTTCGAACACAACGAAGACTCCTGACAATGAAAAAACAATATAAATCGGAATTTTAAAAAAAAATCGAAAAGCCCTGTGAAGTAAAAACTAGTTATTCTGACAAACAAGATTGAGTATTCGCCTGTATCTAAGCTTTCAGGTGGTGTACATACTATTGTTATTGTAGCTTGCTTATTAGCTTTTAAAGAATGTCTGAATCACATATACATTGTTAACTCTTTTCCCCTCACATCAGATACAAATAATATTCGCCGCAATATTTCCAAATATTTATTATCGTCTCTTACTTGAATACCGCAAAAATGAAGAATGCGACGGCGAGCGCCACCAATGAAACCCCACATCCAAACACCATGATAGATGATATGACATCATAATGTACTTGGTCTATGTCCTGAAAATTTAATAAAAGACACAAACGCTAAACTAATAACGTAAACGGAAAGAGCGATGCATTCTTGGATGCGGATGCAAACTATCAGTGGGGCGAGTTCTGTGAAGATTTTAGTGCAGATTAAATCTGCCACGGGAGTGCAAATGGAATTGGTTTTAATTTCTGGGTAACTCAGTGTCAGTGCGTGTAATTGTGCATGTGTGCACGCCGTTTGTAAGATAAGTTACAATGAAGCATGTATTTCTCGTCTACAATCTATTGGTCTAGTATTACTTGACAGCCATTTCACTGCAGTAATTCGAATAACAATCACGTACTCGTCGACAACACATTTACATCGCGTAAAGTGTGACTACTACAATCGTGTTTTTTATTTGTTGATACCTGAATGTTAAACGGACTCTTAAAAGGGGATATTTGTTTTACCTTGTTTGAAAATAATGATTAAGAAGTTGGGAGGTAGGAAATGCTTGTCTCTGTCGTTATTATTTACAAATATAACTGAAATATGACGGTAGTTTTCAAGGTTAGATGACAAGTTTATAATTATTTTGAGATGTAATACATACAAGTCTTAATTCTTGTCTCCAGCATTTAAAGCGAATATACTCTTGCAATGAGTGCACATTTATTTTCACTCCAGTAAATGTCATTTTTTGAGCTCATGTGTCATGTGACAGTTTAATAAATCATATTTTTATGTATAGTAATTTCAAAAAACTAAGTCTCGCATAAATCCAAGGCATACACGAAGAATGATGTCAGGTATTTCATAACGAGTGTACGTAATATTTCACATATAAATACTCAACAGGAATAATGTCTACATATAATGTCAAATATACATAATTATAGTTGTACTTGTTATTAGTGTACTGGCAGGGGCCTGGCCCAAATTATTTCTTTCCGGTCATCTCAATTTGGATTTTCGCTATTTAAACAATATGAAATGTTATTACTATATCGTCAATCACTCCGTGTATTACATGCTGGCCCTTTGCAAATTGAAAATACGCTGCATGCTCGAAAAATAAATTATCCTTAATCATACATATAAATTCATATCAGTACCTAGTAAATAGCTCATAGCTACGTCATTATGCTATAGTTCATAATGGTTTGAAAATGTAACAGCGGTGATCCTCGTTCATGTTAAATTGCCGCAAAAATTGATGCGGATCCTATGGTTTGTTTTTCAAGATGCCCCCAATTCATTGAAATACAGACCCATTAAGTATGTCCGCGCTTCCAGGTCGAATTTAAATGAGCGAAATCCTATCACGCCTACCGGATTGCCTTTGTTCGTTGCACTCTTCTCTGCGGGTTCACCGACACACTAAGGGCCTGTTCAAGCGATGTTTTATATAAATTGTGTAATATGGGTTACCAGTAAATTCGATAGTCGGTGAATGAGTGAATATGTTATGCGACAGGTATGCGGTGTGTGTTTAAGTCTACCAACTTTTCCCCATAACACGCATATGTTTTACAGATCGCCTCAGCTTGCGATGTGTCTGGACATTATTGTCCATAAATTGTGTAGTTCGTAAAGGCGACCAACTTGACGACCGTTTTAATCAATCAGCGAAAATAAGTAAGATCGCAGTAAATTATTTTGTTGTGATTCATTATTTCTTGCACTTCGATTACAATTATTCCCTTAAGTATACTGTATCAGGAGAAACAAGATGAAAAATGAAATGAATCCGGGGTAATTAGGAAGATATAAGTTTCAAACATTTTGCGTTGCTATAGCAACGCAAATACGCTATAGTGCCATGAAAGTAGTCTACTGTAGGTTGTTATCACTGATATAATACTTCCGGCATGACGTATTGCTATTATGCAACACAGTATCTGTGGTGTAAAAATCTTCTTCGTTAAAGCGGGGGAGTCGTCACCTGTGCATGCGTCAGATAGCCATAGCGTGTCGCTGTTTACAAACAAGCGTCTACCCATGAGCCTTTGCGTTTAGCGTGTGTTGTTATCGTCGCTTGGGACTCAATTTCCGCTCCGTGAATCCATAGCATAATATAAATCTGCAGTTTTAACTAATTGCTATGTCGCGCGTCTGTTATACATTAACGTCTCCAACACGTTATGGTAATAATCACCTAACTGCTTGAGTAATGATTGATATTTTGAAGTGTTTTTATAATAGTGTTTTCACTAAAGAATAGCGACAATCTAATTTATTATTCAGTAACTTCAGTACTCGATGTACCAGCACCAGTATTCTCTATTACAGTTCTCTTTATTTTTGTTAAGGTGTGTGATTACACGCGGATCACGTGCATCTCTCGCGTGACCTAACTGCTACTAACTTTCGAAACTAGCCATTAATGAAGATAACCACGTTTTATATTACCACATCATATATAAAACTGCTTACGTATACAGCGTATATATTATTAATCACTTGATAACTTAGTTGGCGTTTAGAGTGAATTATTGGACTAGGTTAAATAGAAATAACCACAAAAAACACGCCTAATACTTACATCGTCACCCAGGTCATAGTCGTAAATATTTTCCGCTAATTGACAATATGAGTAGTCTGACTTGTTGCTCCACGTACCGTCTTCGTAGCACCATCTTGTTACGTTGACTGTTAACAAAACAACGATACAACATAATATAGGTATTTTTAAATGATACCATGGGTTACGATGTGTTTTCAAAATAATCAGTTGCTAAAATACGTCACTGCTATTCGATTAGTGGTACAAGTAGCTACTTTAAGCTGCCACACACATACACGAGTAACTAAATAGAATGTCGACCGAACTGTAAGAAAACTCAGAGTACGGATAAATTTGAGCTTTATGTTTATCTGTCGGTGTTGGGTTTGTAAAAACTGGATAAGGTAACTCCACACGCAGTCGACAAAAAAATATTTGTTGAATGAATTTATGTTCGGTTCGATATAGTAGATACTTTAATTAATGGTACGTAACAACAATATAAGGCACAATTGTCTAATTAATTACTCCCTCAATCGAATAGTAATATTCGCGTGAATATAACAACTTTCTGTGTCTATAATAATTCATAATCCATGGTTATCTATTAAAGATTCGGTGACAAACGAAAATATTTACAATTATGAAAATATCTCCAGTTGACGGACTTACACGATGTATCGTATTTTAGATTATTTACTTCCAGTGGACAGGAAACAGATACCAATCCTGGTCGACTTGTTGGCCAACAGGTCAGGCGATCATGAGTTGTATTGCAGAACTTGCCTACAAGATACAAAGATACAAGATACAAAGATGGTAAAAAAAAAACATTTTCTGGTTCACTGGGACTGGAAGAATTTTTTCTCCAATTTGTTTTATTCAAACATTTCCTGTGTCGGTTGTTGCCAAAATGTGGACAGTGAAAACATAGCATATGGCATAGGCTATATACCGACGTTGTATATTAAACCACTTGACAAAAGTGAACAAGCAGCCTCTCGGCTGAGATAGCTCCCCTATTAGCAATGTACATCTCAATTAGAGAATTAAAGATCATCACGAGGAATCATGATGAACAAATCCATGAGAGGTCTACCCAAAGCACATATACACCAAGTGTCAAAATAATAAGACTTGTATACTATAAGAAGAAGTCAAAAAACAAAAAAGTTGACGCGGGCGACGACGAACAATCACAATATAATAAGTTCCGCTCGACAAGCTCGACAGCGGAACTAAAAAGATGTACGCGGGGATGCGTCAGGTCCAGATCTCAAGTGAGTGCCATCAATGAAAATCCCGTTTTGTCAAGCGAACCCCCGGGATTACAAGATGACAACTTACCGGGGCCATGCGCGAAATGTCAAATACGTCACCAGCTTGAGAGGTTAAATCTATATCTGTCGGCTTCCAAAATGGCGTCTATTCGATTATAGGTTTTCCCATCGCATTTTATGTGACGTTAGCATTGTGTAGGGCCACTTTTTCCATGCAATTGTGTCTAAAATAATATTTTGGTAAGATATGACCATCTTTACGTGGTTATATTTAAACAAACAAATTGTATGATATTCTTAAAGCGACAATTTACTACGCTCAGTATTGAATTGACTATAAAGAATGTGCACTGTAAAATATTTTCGTAGATTGTATTTCTGCTTCCAGTATTCTTTCTTGTTCAACCAACGAATAACAAATAACCAAACAGGACGCTTGTCAGTCTAGCAGCGCATATTAGGTGTGTTTGAATTGTAATCACAACTTCTGTTTTCAAAGTTAGAAACTAAGAACTTACTAATTTCACGACGATGACACGTATTTGAGCGTGTCACGATCTTCCGGCGGCGACGAAATCGTTGATCATAAAAACACTGTCACGCGTAAATGCGACGGAATACAACCCGGTATTTATCTTATCGTACAGTAACCTTGAGTTGTTCGCACGAAGCGTGTCAAATCATAACATGCCCCGACCTATGATTAATCAGATATACGGAGATTCTGGGATTAGATGCATGTTTCATCTGATTTACGAACACAGTTTCCAGCAGGATGTTTATCTACAGTACGTCTCATGCATAATTCCGCTCTACGATAACCATTGGTGCGAAGCAAGTACGGTGTGTATTTGTATCTCCTAAGGCATGATGGGAGCAAACTAATTAGGATATAATGAATGCCGTAAGGGGACGCAATAATCTCCCGACTATCAGAACAACTGAGGCATGGCCAGGGGAGCTAGGCAGAAACTCGCAATTCTTAGAACTAATTAGACGATGACAACTGGATTTCATTCTCTACTACACCCATATTGATGTGATGCACAATCGCTATGTATTACTCCCTACAGAAAACTATTGTAATACCCGAAGCGTTGTAATTGGACATAGTCACATTCTATCTGACGTTACAAAACGGGCAAGGATGTTGTAAACCATTAGGTCAATTTGAACATACTTGCGGCGTTTCAATTTCGTGACGTAAATCAGTTGCGCCCACGCGCTGTTCCATGTCCCGCAGTGCAATGAAATACAAATCTTCGTGGCAAAAAAAAAAGATTACTGGAACATTTATTTTTCTCGTGGCAGATGTCAATGAGAGAAGGTCACGACATGGTTGTGAAATTACAGAAAATGGGGCGGGTATTAATATTGTCCTATGTGATGTTCAGTTTATTTTTCACATCGTATTCGTACTCTCACCAGATGCCGTTTCACGAACGCATAGAATCGTCGAAAAATATGAATCAAAAAAGCTTAGACAGAACTCCCGTGTGCATTGGAGACATATAAAAAAATAATTCAAATTTTAAGATTAGCCTTTCGAACACGAAGCTTGGCAACTAATATTTGTCTGCTATTTTAGATGCACAATGTGAAAACAATGTGTTCCACGTATTGTCAGTCTAATTTGTTCCAGAGCACCCGTCTACTACAAGTTCAATTTAAATTCGATTTTTTGGGATATCAGAAATTGACTAATAATAATTAAATAATCAATATGCATATTTTTTCAACAATAAACTAATCACGACTGTGAATTATCCCCAGAGCATTACGAGCAGATACGTGTTGTCTCTCTTGGAACTACTAGTATGTGAATTACGTGCTACATTACTGGGAGTTACGTTATATTATTGGAAGCTATGCGTGGTATTACTCAAAGCTACACGTTACATTATATGGAACTCTGTGTATTATATATAAATGTGTAATTGAAGGCAACTATATTGTACATTCCAGTAAATTTCTATTCAGAGGTTAAATCAATTCTGAAATCACCCTTTCTGCAATTTTCTCGTACGTCTAGTCTAATGTTTCACTAATAGACAGAACATCCTAAATTTGTAAACAGATTGTATGTAATCCCTTTTCTTTTTTGAATTCCAAATTATTTAACTAATTCGTGGTCTTACTGACTGATGGCACTAGGCAACATAGTCAAAATTGTTGGTATCTTGTATGCATGGCAACCACATTCCAATGAAAAATTGGAAATTAGGCCATAAGTATGCTCACATTTCAATCCAAAACTGGTCAGGTTTTATAGAATTGTTCCCAGTTATTTACCAAATCTTATAGAAATGTAATAATTGATTTTTGAGATATAGGTAGAAAATTGGGTAATTATTGTGCAATTAACAATTATTATGTGCAGATTTAAACCAAAACTAGTTATATCTGTGTATTGTTCCAGGGCACATTATATCTGTGTATTGTTCCAGGGCACATTATATCTGTGTATTGTTCCAGGGCACATATGTTTCATTATACTGTCACAGTGATGAATAATCCTTTTAAATAGTCGTTGGGAAGCCGAACAATAAATTATTATGCAAATTAGATAATTATTGTGAATTTCTATAAACCAAAAACTGATTAGATCGTCGCATTGTCACTAAAATGTGTTGATAAGTACTTAAGATATCAGTGGAAAAACCAAAAGTTTTCTAATTATACTAATTAGGTGAATAATATGCATGGATTTAAACCCAAATCAAATCAAATATTTGTATTAGTCACGGGCATCTATGTACAAAGTTTCATCAAAATCCAATGAGTGGTTCTTTAGACTTCTAGTTAGTTTGCTAATTATCATGTAAATTATGTTATTAATATGTACGTGGTTCAAAAGTTAATCAAATCTGCACATTGACAGATATGGTTCTTGAGGTATCAGTGGAACAGACAGACAGACACACTTAACTGCAAAGACTCTCATTCGCACACTGGATTTAAAAATGGAGATGGTACTTGAAGATACATTTAGTAGACAAAGTTCGTCATGATGTTTGACGCTGAAGTGGAGACAACGCTATATACAATGCAGTAAAACACAGGGGACATAGACAAATCGGATGTATTGTATGGCGTGTATTTTTTTATTTTTTTCATAGATTCCATTTTATAAAGCCCAAATAAGGACCTCATTTTTATCAGATAAGGGTATAAACATAATATAATTGACATTCGGATTTCCAATCGAAATAAATGAATAATAATCTTTCCACGATTCGGAAAATTTATAAATGGAATAGCCACTTTGTCTCGATTGCTGAAGATGTAGTCATAGTTGCCAGTGACAATCTGATATATTACGAGCTCTTCTCGATCATATAATTTGAAAACCTTGACATTCTGCTACAGATAAAATGAATGTATAGTAGTTGCGTTTGCACAGGTGATGGGTATCCTGCATGGGGATATAAATACTGGCATGGTAATACAAACATATAAGCACGCAAGATTCGAACTCACGACCATGACAGACCACCTCGTATTTGAAAGCAGACGCGAATCTAATATTTAATTTAATTCTTACTAATTTCAGAATTTTGAGCATTGAGGGAAATTGCTGATGATAACTGTTTATTCAACATTTACATGATCAGTAATTACCGTCGCACAAAAATACGTATTCCAAGAAAACATACTATATTATATGCATTCAGTGTTCATGCTCCCTCCATGTACACATACACACACACACACACACCTCCTCGAGTCACAACGAATTACTGTAAACCTGAAGTACTTGATTTGATCGTTATCAACGTTGATGTCGACATCGATGCTCGAAATGCAAAGTTCAAGTGATGTATGTATCAATTCACTGAAGTTGAATAAGAGTCACAAAAACGAATTCTTACTTTCAGAATATTTTTGATGACGGCAGGTTGGGTCATTTAAATTGCCGTTTGAGAATGATTTGGTAATGTTACAAAGAAAATTCAGGGCCAAACTACAATTGAAATGCGATGAAAAGTGTAATAATATTAATATTATGCCAAACTCCCAATTATCCAACTAGAAGTCCGTAGTTAAGATGTATTCAGACAATTTAAGCTAGGTTATTGACTGATTTTGCAATGCATTATATCTCATATATATATGTATTCACTATACTATATCGTATAAATCGAGTCCATACTATAATAGCCAGCCCGCATGTTTTGTCAATCATAAAAAATTGTAGACTATAAAAAACGAATGATCAAAACAACGCGCATATATAAGCACACAATATTATTGAACTTTGTATGAATACATGATTAAGGCTCTTGGGGAATATAGCTCCGTAATTGAGATATAGGTATATCACGTTGGTACAGGAAACAATTACTAGTATATTTTAAATACAATCTCAACAGTTGCGTAGGAATACTCCTAATGGTTACCTATTGTCTGTACAACATTGTAATATTGCTTGATATAGCTTTATTGAGTTGCGTTGCGTTGCGTTGCGTAAAAACGGAGAGGTAACGATAGTGTACAATGTTGAGA